ATATGTTTCTGAGTTTTTAATTAATACCCCTCTTCCCACCCCTATTTTAGTTTCGAATTAATTTTTCTTTTTAATGTCAATCAATTAGTATTTTTTGAGGCATTATACAGTCATCGACATAAAGATGAGGGCAAGTGTAAATGAAATGAAAATTGACTATTTTTCAGTCAAAAAATACGTTCTATATAGCAATCGAAAGCTCTATTCGTATCTCAGTTGACATGTTTCTGCATCTTTCATGAAATTGAAAATTGACCGAGATAATCCGGATCTACCGGATATACCAAATCCCATAATCTCGGAAAAATTTTTCGGAAAAAATTTAACAAACCCATTTGATAAAGAATATTTTTGTGAGTATTTTCCACAAAACCGCTTAAAAATATCTTTCTCCGGTCCAGAGATATGATTTTTTGAAAATGGCATTTTTCGCCTATTTTTGCAAAAAATTCAATTTTTAAGGGAAAAATGCCATTTTCAAAAAATCATATCTCTGGACCGGATAAAGATATTTTTAAGCGGTTTTGTGGAAAATACTCACAAAAATATTCTTTATCAAATGGGTTTGTTAAATTTTTTCCGAAAAATTTTTCCGAGATTATGGGATTTGGTATATCCGGTAGATCCGGATTATCTCGGCCAATTTTCAATTTCACGAAAGATGCAGAAACATGTCAACTGAGATACGAATAGAGCTTTCGATTGCTATATAGAACGTATTTTTTGACTGAAAAATAGTCAATTTTCATTTCATTTACAATTGCCCCTATCTTTATGTCGATGACTGTAAGTAAAATCAAATTATATTTATTATTTGCAAAAATCGACCTTTATATAGAAGAAATTTGATTATTCCGAGGAATAAAAACCTAAAATGGAAATTAATCTGAGACTCAAATAAGAGTGGGGTGGGATAATATTAAAATGCCTGTTTGTGAACACATATTTTCGACTTTATATATTTTCGACATCATTATAAATTCGGACCGACTTTTTATGTCAACGCTTTTATGGGTGTAACTAAAACTGAAACCTAATTTAATTATAATACTTTATAAAAAAGAGAAAGAAGCTGTTTATTATTAATTAATTAAAAACTCAAAATGAATAAAAATATAAATTAATTGGCTTTAAATAAGCAATTCAACTCAGCAATTCAACTCATAAGCAATTCAACTCATTTAAATAAGCAATTCAACTCAATAAGCAATTCAACTCAAAATATCGCTATTTTTAATTAATTAGATATGTATTCGATACGTTAAAAGGGCTTTTTCGAATTTAGTCATGTATTTTCACGAGCTAATTTTGGTCATCATAATATTTTAATAAATAGCTTTGCACATCACTTGATTGTTATCATGAGTGACAGGCCTGCTTTTCAGTATGGCTATCGTAATTGTGTAAGAGCGTATACAGATTGTGAAAATTATAGATATTCATTAGGCTAGGCTATTTAGAAATTATGTATTTCACAATTTAATTTTACAATCATTAATAACTTTTAAAATGCTGCGCAGTTGCAGCTTTCATTATTGAATATATTCTCAATATATCCAATATGGCTATTGAAAATGTATGTGCGAATATCCAAATTGATTTATTTTTTTAAAAATTGGATATGATAAGAGGGCAATATTATTAAGAAATTATTCATATTCACAATCTGATCATGCAAATTTTATTTTCATGTGAATTTTATTTGATTTTAATAAATAACAGTATTCGATACGTTAAAAGGACTTTTTCGAATTTAGTCATGTATTTTCACGAGCTAATTTTGATCATTTATTTTAATTAATAGCTTTGCACATGACGATTATTATCATGAGTGACATGCCTTCTTTATTATCTATTCAGTATGGCTATCATAATTGTGTGAGAGTGTATACAGATTGTGAAAATTATAGATATTCATAACGTTAAGAGGGCAATATTATTTCAAAATTATTTATGTATTTCACAACATAATTTTACAATCATTATTATATTTAATATGGCTACTGAAAATGTATGTGCGGATATCCGGATTGCTTATTTATTCAAAAATCCGATATGTTAAGAGGGCAATATTATTAAGAAATTATTAATATTTACAATCTGATCATGCAAATTTTATTTTCATGTGATTTTATACGAGTTTTAATAAATAACAGTCAACATTTTATACAAAATAATTATGAAATCAAAATGATTACTGTTGTTTAAAGGTTATTTCTCAATAGTTTCACTATGATTGGAGTATCAGATCAAAAAAAGTCCGGATATCCAAGAATCACAGTATCTGCCATCCCTACCCTATACAGACAATGCGTCAGAAACAATCACCTAGCGTGTCCAAACATAAAGTCAGAGAAAGACTATTATTCTATTTTCGGACATAAAACAGTCAGAGACAAAACAGTCCTAGGACTACCGGTTAGTGCACTGTTCCCTAAAACCACGGAGTTAAATGTTTCAATCCTCCGCTTAATAATAACTTTTTGTATCCTTAACATTATCATACGTAGGGCTCGGATTTATATTGAAATACTGACCATTGTCTGACCATTAAGTTTGAATAGAAGAAAGACAGAAATGACCAGTGATAGATGTGATAAAAAATGGAGAGACAGTGGTCAGTTCGCGGGTCGCTTCAGTGATATATTTATATAGAAATCCGAGTCCTACTCATAAGATGTTAAACCTTACTGATCATCCCTCCCTCACTCACTCCCCTTCCTTCAATATTTTAGAATCCATAAAAATTCTAAAAGGGTGAGGAAATAATTTTTCCAACAACTTTAGGTATATATTTTTTAAAACAAGAGATCTTTACAAAAATTATTTCTTTAATTTAAAATATTAGTTAATTAAACATCCGTCCATTCCTCCTTTCTTCTTTGTAATGAACTACTGAAAAAATATTTTTTTAATTTTACAAAATTTAATTTAATTTGATTAATTACAGGGTGACCCAAAAGAAACCGGGCACACTATTTTTGGCATAACTTTATTTAAATTAAAGATAATGAGATCAAATAAAGATGAAATTATAGAGAATTAAATGGAGAATAAGATATAAAAATCTTTTAGAATTTCCCCCCTATTCTTTTTTGAAATAAGGTTAAAGGAAAGTGAGAAAAAATATTGCTCCAGGTCGCAACTTTTTTTGAGGCATTTTGCCTATAACATTAGAACAGATTGCAGGAATTACACAAAATTTTTTTTGGCATCTAGAGCAGTCCTTTGTCTATAGAAACTATAAAGCAAAAAATTTTTTAGATTAACGCTTAAAGAGATATTCGATTGCGCGTAACCCTCCCAAAATGAGAAAATCGCATTCCCCCCAAAACTGATTTACATATACTCATAGCCATCCATGTAGGAGATGGAGTTTTTATCTTTCAGATTTGTCCGGTTCGCTAATGATCTTAATTAAATTCCGTTGAGATCATCCCGTTTAGACTTCCCCTTTCTGAGATACAGAAAATAAAATTTTGGGGGGAAAATTTTGATATGGTGTACCTAAAATTACGTAACCTTCTTAATCCTTAATCAAAAAATCTATAATTTTACTTTATGATAGAGAAATAAATGAGCTACAAAATAAACTTGGAATTATCTAAAAATGATATGAACAAAAAAAGTTATAAAGGATATAAAAGTGCCCGGTTTCTTTTGGGTCACCCTGTATACTTTAATTTTTGTTGATTGTCTTCTTTAATTGTTGAAGAAAAAAGAAAAGAATCAACTCGACTTGAACCTATTGACCTATCCATTTCTGAAGGGATACGTCTAAATTTGTACATGATTTTACTGATTAAAAAGTATTCTTAAAATTACTTAATGCCATTTGAAGGCCACCCAATCCTTTGATCATCAACTATAGGTTTAACGTCTGTAAGTATTGAGGATTGCGAGGGTGAATATAAACGATGAGAAGAACGGGAACGGGCAAACTTTAAAATAAAATTTGAGGTTTCTTGGTTAAATATTTAATTAGAAGACTGTCTAGGCCTTAAATTCATAAGCCTATATATAATGATTTTAATGAGTGATTAGACTTGATCCATTCTGTAAAGCATATAGCTATTTAATTCCTAAGACTGTGCAGTAGGCGGCGTGGTGTAATGGCTAACACATCAGTACGGTCTACTGAAGATGTTGGTTCGCTCCCAGCCGCCGATTAACCTATTGCATTAGCTAAAGGAAAGGTATAGCTATAGCCCAGCGGCTTTACTGTTCGTTGGAGAAATGATATAAGATTGACTTGGATTTTATCAAGCTAAAAAAGTTTAAGTCTCTTAAAGTTAGCCTTTGCCGTTCGAAAAATAATACTAAATCTCTTTCTAATCGGTGATTTTTAAAAGAAATTTTCTGATAGACCCAATATCGTTTTTGGAAAATATTAGAGAATACTTACGGGTCTTAGCAACCCATTTTGTTGAAGAGGTGTTGAAAATGTCACTTTGGGTATCTTTGCAAAACGTTTTTCACTTTCATTAAATTCTTTAATAAATTGTGATGATTTTTGCGTTTTAACTAATTCTGGTTTGTCAACATTAAAGTTGCTGGTATTTCCGAACTGGTTTTGTTTTGATATTCTGCTTAGAAGTTGAGGGGGACCTAAATATTTTTTAATTACATAAATTAAAGTAAATATGTGAGGTTAGTGGATTTGAAATTATTTTAATCGAGATTCTATAGACCTAACCATTCTTGAGATTTCTCTAGAAAAATCAAAGATTTCAATTTATCCTCCAAATGAAAATATTAAAATTAAAAAATTTGTAGGTATTCCTAACCTCGAATAATTTCCGATCTCGTGAATGATTTAAAAATATTCCCAAAATAAGTGGTTAAGTGGTGGAGCTATATTTTTCAGATACCTCAGCTACCTTGCAGTGGGGATATTTTTTGAAGAAATACGGTAATCGGATATGTTGCTACTTCCATAAGAAGGATCTAAGATTCATTATTTTTTTATTTTGTTTTAGATTTATCCCGTTTTTCTCTATTTAAAAATCGTTTGAAACATCCACTAATATCCTCCTTAAACAGATATGTACTAGCCAAGTATTATTTAAAACAAATAAAATTATAGTACTTGTTTTTATCAGATCATTATCAGTCACAAATAAATCTGTTGTTGTTCTCCCACCTGCCCTCGTTGAAATTGTGGATGTATCAATTGTTAATGATTTGGGTTGTAAATATTCATTATCGGAATTAAATAGGAAGGGCTATGATTTAATTTTAGGTTAAAGTTGATTAAATTTTAAAAAGAGTTTATTACTTTTCCAATAGAGAATGTTGTATTTTCTGGAGCTAAGGGCACAGGATCATAATGTCTATTACCTTCATCTTGATTATATTTTGTATTTTTATCATCAACAAAATTCTCTCCTCCAAAATTATTCCAATCTACATATTCGTAAACTACATCTGAATTTGTTGGGGTATTTAATGAAGGTTCAAAAATATTTCTCTCTCTTTTGTAATTTAAATTTTTTGTTTGTTGCTGTAAAAATTAATTATAGAAAATTTTTGTTTTTCTGTTAATATTTTATTTGAAGATTTAGTCTGGAGGGATACTCGCGAATAAGGCTTTGTGGATCGTATCGGAGGATTATTTTTTGAGTATCGACCTTCGAGTTACTCTCCCACGAAAAATTACTCCTCGACCAGATAGCTTATCTACTGAGAAACTAAAACAATAAATACCCTCAATCAATTTTTAATTAGCCTCGTTTAGGCTTATTTATAACCCTATTATTCACAATTCCTCAATTAATAAACACCTCTATCGTTAGCTCGTAAAAATAAGCAACAAATAATAATTATTCAGAAAATATTTGATTTTAATTAAAATTATTTTTAGGATTTTAAAGATTCTTTAAAAAAGATTCTCAAATTGAATGCCAGGATTTTATATTTTTCAATCACCATTTCATTTAAAAAAAGGGGGGAGGCGTTCTATTTGAGGAATCCCCTCTCTTTCTATTAAGGGAGGGGGCGTTGTATTTGAGGAATCCCCTCTTTTACTATTGGGGGGGGGGGCTTCTTTCCGAGGAATCCTCTCCCTTTCTATTAGAGAGGGGGGGGGGGCGTTCTATTTGAGGAAAAGCTTTATATGTATCCTACCTGTGTTTTTGTTTTATTTTTAATATTATGCATTGATTCTCTTTCCCATTGTTTTAATTGTTGTGATTCTATTTTATATATTGGTGATCTACACCTTCTTGAATTATTAAAATCCCGTTTAGGCTAAAAGTTATTTTTTAAATTTTTTTATTTTAAAAATCCCAACTTCTTGTTGTGAACATATCGAAGTCTGTCCCGTTGAGGCAATTGTACCGGAAAAGTTTTTAAGTAAGTGGGCACCACAATTATCGTCTTCCAAGTCTTGCATCTTTAAAAATATAATTTTTTTTAATTTCCTAGTGAAAAGTAAAACAAAATACAGTTGAAGGCTCGTGATGGGATCACGCTCCCAATTTTTTGATTTAAGGAATTTTGAGGGATTTATCCCAAGGTTTATCCCAATTTTTAGAAAAATCTCGTATGCGGGATTCCTCAAACAATGATTTTGCCTGTCACTAATAAATACTTATATACCCTTATTTGTTAGGTCGAAAAATTGTATCATATCGAGTTTTAAGTATAAGAGGTATCTTATAATGTGCCCAAAATAATTACTTTAATCTTCATAAATTTTTCGCTCCGATTTTTGCCAAATGCAGCTTTTGTAGCTATACAACCGGTGATTGAACATATTAACATTAATATATTGCTGAATAAAGATATCCAAAAGGACCAACCAAAATGTTGCTAAAATAGAAAATTTTGGGGTTTTATTTTGAATTTTTAAAATTCTTCTTGGATTAGCATGGGGCACACAGTCCATTTAATGGACATGGGATAATAATTTGTTCTTATTGAGATACATATTACATTCAAAACTATAACATTATTGTCCCATTCCGTAGAATTAATGAACGTTTTATTTTGGAATCGTTACAGTAATTTTTATAAATAGTGTTTTAGGGTTTTCTTTTGAAAAAATTCTGACACCCAAACTAAACGGAATAAGCTAACTGAGATATTTGTTATCCTGAACACAAACGAATAATTCTCAGTTATTGAATTCAAAATCGACAACCCTATTCATCAGGGATTGTTAGGAAAAACAAACATCGAAAACTAGTGTTAGGCAAATGGGTTTTTTCGGTACCGGTACCGGGAGTACCGAAAAGTACCAATTCGGTACTTTCGGGAGTACCGCGGGAGTACCGAACCGTGCCGAACACTACCGAAAACCCCTTAAATTTTAAGCTAAAAAATAATTACTTCATAAATTCCTTCTTCTTCTTTAATAATATTATTGTCTTGATCTGAGGCAAACATGAAAAAAAGTAAATTACCCGCAATACTCGAAAGAACAGAAATTACAACTAAAACAGCTGCTATACAAGTACATAAACTTTTAATTTTTTTATTTAAAATTTACTTTTAAAATTTATTTACCGATGACAAAAAGCAAAAATTAAAAAAATTATAGCAAAAATAGCACAGATGGTTGAGATAAGATTGGCTACTAATGTTGCTATTTTCCAACCTTTTTTTTAAATTTTTAAAAGAAATATTTAAGAAAGTTTTCTACCCAAAAATAAATGCTGATAAGCATCCCCCCACAATCTATTCTCGTCATATCCAAGTTCATACCAATCCTTTTCATCTAGCCAGTAATCAAATTTAAAAACACAATTTAATGCTGTTAGCCAAAATTGATCAAAAGGACGGGCAAGGTCAAAATGCCTTTAAAATTTGTAAAAATTTTAAAATCTGTGTTCTCTCTTATACAAATCCAGGGGGAATAAATTATTAAACTATAATTTAACTTTTGATCAAGTAATACCAAAAATTATGGTTAAGTCTAGATCACAGGAGGATAAGGCAAGAATGCCAGGAATTGGTCGAGTTACCCAAGACCCCGAATATTTTCTCAATTCGACTTATCCTTGATATACATGACCTCATAGAGTTATCGGTTCTAGAAATTCATAGGATATCCGGAAATGAAATAATGTAATTTTTTATGAACTGACTAACACGCTCACATGAGGTAAGCTGCATGGACCTTGCCATACCAATCTCCGAAAACTGGGAATTGAAAATTTCTCTCAAGTTCCAAATTCTCGAAATTATTTTTATATTGTTAGGATCCCTAGTGATAACCTAAGCCAACATTACTTTCTTTTAAAACCTGTGTAAAGTAGCATAATATTCCTTGGAACGTCCATAATCATAAGAGTAATCTCTCTTACAATCTAACCAGAGACCATGATGGTGTTCTGTTCTACCTTCCTTTGATTTTTTTAATTTTAAATTTAAATTATTTGAGATTTACTTCCAAATAAACAATCTGCCAACTAGGTGTTAATAAACCCAAGATAAGTGATGTTGTTGCAAAAATTAAAATTAAAAGGAAACATATTAGCCAACCCGTTGAAGTTGTTTGGTTTTGCATTATTAAAATATTTTTACTTTTTAAATTATGGCACTTATTTTAAAAATATATTTCAAAATATATTTTAATATAAATTAATAGAGGAAAGAGAAATCGCAGAAGATGGCAGATGATTAAGTGGAATTTTGAAATAATTTTTCATAAAGATTGTCGTACCAACTCATAAATACATCAAAGGAATTGAATGAATAGAGACATCGGATATATTGATAATATATTAATGGATCAAGGTCCGAAATGAGAAATTTTCTAAACGCCTTGCATTATTGACTAGCTTGGAGAAGATTACGGTATCTTTACAAGATAACCTTGCGCCGGGCTAGGTTTTTTCGGATTTTTAGATTTGGATGTTTTAAATTTCGTAATTTCATATTACTTCTGGAAGGTCCACTACTACATAAAATTGCAGAAAAATTAATATAAATTGTAATGATATTAAATAATAATATTTTAATGTTTTAAATGTTAATTATTTTCTTCAAAAGTGAACTTGAAAATTTTAAATTAATTATTTAAATGAGTTTATAGCGATTATTCTAACCTATACTGAAAATTTTCTAATAATTTTCTTAAAATATTTTAAAAAATAATACTTATTATTGATTCATATTTAAAAATAATTCTTTTTTTTGTTTTATTTTAGAAAAAAATGGATTTTTTGAAGGACATAAAAGGCTAAAATAAGCAATAAAAAGACGAAATGCATGCGCAAATGTGTGAAAATAAGAGAAATAAGGGAGGAAATAGAATGGGTGGAAAATTTTGTAAAATGGGAGAAGGAAAAGTAAAAATGACAAACGGCTGGTGCGCAAATATATAAGTAAAGCTCATTTAGGTATGAGTCAGAAGAGATTGTAGAAAAAACAAGTAAAGATGTGGGACTTTGATTTTGTATTAGTGGAAGCTTGTTATTTTCAATTGGAAGCTCTGAGAGAGGTAAATTCGAATTCCTATTTTCGATTTCCGAAAATTTAGGGTGATTTCCGAGTTACGACTTTTAAGCCATTTCCTATTTCCGTCAGTTCCGATTTCCGGCACCTTCGTCATTTCTGATACACCTCTGGTTTTGTTCTGAATCTCAGTTGATGTCAGAGTGACTGAAAAACTGAATGTCAGAACGTTCTGATATCGAAATCAGTTCTGAAAATCACTTAAAATTTTTAAAATTGAACTGAAATTACGTAAAGTCAAAGAACTGGCAATATGAATATAGCATAACTCAACAGTAGCCCCTCGTTTCGTTAATTAACCTGTGAATTACCCAGACATTCGTATTGTTAAATATTACTAACTATTTTTCTTGCTAACAATTCTTAAACCAAATAAAAAAATTTTATTGGATAATTTATTCAATTTAAGACTGGAATGTAAAATTGACCAGAAATAGGGAAAGAATTTGCAAGAAAATAGGAGAGGTCATCGGCATTCGCTCATCACCAATTGCTTTATTTTTCCCCATTAATGTGCTTTACTGCGCGACATCAAAACAACAAAAACAAATTTTTAGAACAGTGTTCACACCTTTGGGAATGGTCATTTCCTTCTACAGCCGATGCATGTTTCCACCTTATAGGGTGTGGGTATATAATAATTTTAAGAAGATTGGAATGGATATATGATGAATAAATAATTAATACAAGGACATAATTAAAAGAATTTGCTACAAAAATATTTAATAAGATAATTAAAAATAATTAAATCCTTTAAGGCTTAAAATTATTTTTAATTTTGGCTTGGCTTGTATATAGCGCACGCAACCTTTAATTTTCGATGGTGCAAGGATAATGTTTGAATGAGGAACCAGTAAAGTAAAAAAAAAACAAATAAATATTGTTCTTTTCTGAAAATGAAAAAAAATTTTTAAGAGAAATTTTTCTAGGACAAACCTAGCTAAGGTGTGGAAAAACCATAGACATTGGAAAAACGAAAAAATGCATGAATAAAACTCGAAAATAAATTTTATTCATATGTTTTTTTTTTTATTTTTCAACATGAAAAAAATTCATTTAAAGCATAAAATGTATCTTTTTAAAATAAATCCAAATTCAATAGATATTTTTATCAAAAAATTTTTTTCTGAAAGGTGTGGATTATCTTAGAGAAAATACAGTATAGAAGTATATAATGAGCTACATATAACTGAGTAAGTTTGGCGGATCCTGGATATCGGATCCGAAAAAAGGCCGGATATCCGGAAATTTTTAGTTCGTACATAGGATCCGGATCCGGATATCCGAAGATTATTTATATATATCGAAGATTATTTATATATATTGAAGATTATCCAAATCATTATTTTCCAACATTCACCAACCTTATAAATGAGGCTGTCAAAAATTTAACAAAATATTTAAAAATCGGAGATAAAAGTAAACTTAGACTTAATTGAAAAATTATATATTTCCTTAAGGTATGATTTGGCAGCCTTGGTTATAATAAATTTAAAAAGCTGTAATCAAATTGTAAAAATCAAATCGTTTTTTTCATATTTATTTTTAAATCAGTGATTGAAATTTGATGTTGAATTCTTCCGATATCTAAATTTTGAATAGAAATACTAGTAGTATATGCTTTATATTTTAAACTAAGAATTATGAAATATTACGATATCTATTTTTCAAAGTGCTCAAAATGGTCAAAAATGATATTATTACAATCTTGGTAAAAATAGTCCTCAAAAATAGTCCTCGGCCAAAAATAGCCTCAAATTCATTAGTAGTAAAGGGCTAGCATTGCTCGGGAGAAGAAAAAACCCAGGAATCGGGAAACGGGTCGGGAAACGACCGCGTGAGTCGGGAACGACCTCGGGAGTCAAAAATTCAGGAAAATTTTCCGATTACAGAGTCAAGAGCGTGATAAACGAGCATCAATAGTAGGGGGTTATGTATTATATTAAATTAAATTACCTCCTCTTCTGAACCATCTGACGAAGCTTTATTATATGAAGCATTTAACGATAGATTCGTAAAAATTGCCAAATATTTTTCCCCATCATCGTCACATACATCTTTTGTTTCATATTCTAACGCTAATTTGAAATCTATGAACGGCTTTTTTGACGTTTTCTTTAGCTGATCATCAATTAAATTTTTAATCATCCCCATTAGCATCTTTTCAACCTTCTTTTCTGTAAGCATCATTTTAACAAAATATCGAAGTACATCTTTTAGATTCTCCGTTAGCTTTTCGTATATACTATTCAAATAATTAATCAGTATCACCAGCAAATCATTAAAAAGTTCAAGTAGTTTCTTCATCAGATTGTTAAAAAAGTTAAGTAGTTCATCAAACATTGTGCTATAATCATTAAGCAAATTTCTTAGTTGCTCGAACACATTAACATAATCTTTGAGCATATCTTCTAATTTGCCAACTACATTGCCAGAACCATTAAACGCTTCTTTATGTTTTGCAAGCATAACATCAAAACAAGTCTAAATATTGAAAATATTATTCCGGAGACAACCTGAAGCGAACTTAAAAGTTGGATATATTTTGGCACCAGAGGTGGGTCGGAATTCCGATGTCCGACGTTTTTTCCTTCAGATTTCCTAAAAAATTTTGAATTCCGATTTCCGAGTTCCGAATTTTGAGCCGGTTCCGATTTCTAACTCTTCCAATTTCCGACACCTCTGAGTGTTCCAACCCACTTATGTTTAATTCAAAGTATTCAGCAAAAAATAATTGGTATAATACCTTATCATTCGATTCATTATCTGCACTATCATCTGAATCACCGGCAGAATGATAAGCCGAATCACGATCATCATCAGCGTTGCCACCATCATCTTCCCCTCCTTCACCACCACCACCAGCTTCTCCTCCCTCTCCTTCATTAATAGCAACTTCTTGTCCTTCTTCAACTTCTTTAACACCTTTACCCCCACCTCCTCCTCCTCCACCAGCATCTCCTTCTACTTTACCAACTCCTTCTTTTCTAGCGCGACGTTGACGCACTACATTTAATAGGTAGTTTACTAGAGCTTGTAGTGTAAATGTTATTAAGTTTTTGAAAAGGTTTTTGAATGCATTTTGTATCTTCTCAATCAGATAGAACGGAAAATTGTGATCAATCTAAATATTGAAAATGAGCATACATATTTTTATTTATCCATTTTAATACTCCAAATCTATAACTCTTTTTAGTCTCACAATCCTTCAATTAAATATTCCCTTAATTGCTCCCACTCATAATCCCTCTTAATTGCTAAATCTTTTAATATTCAAAAAAAAACTTTAATAACTTAATATTCAACTTAATTATTCTAAAAAACCACATCCTCTAAAATAGCCCTCTTCTCTTTTTAAAATAACACTCTTCCCTTTAAATTAACCCCTTCTAGATGCCCCGAAATATAGCCCCCGTGGTTATTTTAGAGGATTTACGGTATTTAGGTATATATACATGAGAGACGTCTTAGAATTACCGAAAATTTAAATAAAACCCAACAAAAAACTAAAATTATTGTTCAATTTACCTACCTTCAAATCAAAAATAAGCAAATCCACTACAAGGTCCATTAGTATATCTTTAACAAATTCTTTTAGCAGATAAAATCTCCTGTGTTTTGAAACATCAGACTTAAACAAATTGACAATTAGTACATCAGCCATAGTTCGTACAAAAGTTGTTATTACAGGTTTCATTCGGTTTTTCAGAGGAGCAGCGAAATCCATCTGAATATACAATATTTTATTATTTAATACTCTAAGTGGCGGATCAGGGGAAATTTTTGATATCAGGATCCGATTTCAGATATCTCGTATTTTTTCGAAGATTAATACGCCAACCTTAATTAATACCCCTTAAATTGATCTAATGTTTGAGGTGGCAAGTCTTAAGAATTCAAAGAAATTCCGAGGATTCGGATATCGAGATACGCCAAAACTAATCCTATAACGCAGTAATTTGTGGATATTTCAAAATATATTTAGGAAAACTATTCTAATAAACGGGTGTGCTCAAATATTATCCTGAGATTCCTTCAAACTGCAGCTTGGAAGTTAATTAATAGAGCGTGGATAATTATTTGAGGGTCGTTATTATGCATGTACGTTAACAAGTGGCTCAAAAAGCCTGGACTTCAGGAAGGGTAACGGAGCCAAACTAGGTATCGGAGCCAAACTAGAAGCCTGTGAAATCCACAAAATAAACTCCAGAAAGGATAATACACTAGAAAATAATTGCTTGATTTACCTCATTTTGTAATACTCGTAAAGTATCCAACACCAATCTAATGAAGCCTATTATAATTTCTTTTAACGAGCCATTCAAATCGGCAAATACTGCATCTTTAGACAAAAATAAAGCACAAATTACTTGATTAACAATTGAATCTATATTTTCATTAAATGTTTCCTTAATAACTGCTTTTGTAGAAATTATTAGTTCTTCTATAAATATTAGTAGATCATCTTTTGATTCCATTTTGAAATTAAAGATAATATCAATAATTATAATTTACATAACCACCTAAAAATGTTTACTAATCAAGTCTGGAAAATTTTTAAAAATTTCATTTAAGAAAAAAAATATTTTGATTAATTCGATCTAATAGTAAAAATTTTTTTGAAAATCATAGTTCTGGATTCGGATGTAAACAAACTTAATCCGGAGACCCTGATATGGTTCGCTTCAGAATGTCGAGGATTGCGACATACCAGGGCGTTCCGAATTAGCTTATTTGAATGAGGTCGGAGAGAGGAAGATCTACTCAAAGAGAGAGATCTACTCACCAAGAGGTATTGCACACAACATAGAAGGGGCAAGTTTTTGGTGTTCGGGTATTTGGTACCAAAAAAGGTTTGGTGTTCGGGTAACTTGTCCCATTCCTGGTGTATACAATAACTATGTGTCAGTAGTTTTTTGCTGGAGCTTGTGATCATATGTAGACTTAAGGTGTAATGAGAAAATTAGTTAACTATCCCCATAATGAATATCCAATTCCTATTTTGAATTAGGCATATTTCCTCTCATAAATATAAAATATTCAATTTAAAAATAATAGTTTGATTAAACGTATAAAGTTATGATTGAACAGATAATCTGGAAAAAATTGTTTACGAATAAGTTTTTAAATTATATAAAATGTATTAAAAACTTGCAGATGTGTCTGATAATAACTGTTTACTTTTAATAAAAAAGCAACTAATTTTTTTAAAAAATTTTCTTTTAAAAAATAAAATTGTCTTTACAAAACAATAAAAAAATTAACATTTTGAGCCAGTAAGAGAAAATATCTAAAATTTACACGATCAAAAGGAAGTGCAGTAACTAAATTAAAAAACATTTTGTTATTATTTTGGAATACTAAACAATATGTTTTTAAAAATCTTTTTTGTTTAATTTTATTCGTATTAACGTGAAATCTATACTTTCTTTTGTGATGGGATAAACAAAAATTTTTTTCTATTTTATCTTCCAATTTAATAAAAAAATTTTATTTAAATAAACAAATTATTCAAAAAAAGTTAATAAATTTGGAAATTTGTTTTTTTTTATCAAAAACCCTCATCATGCCGTGATGGATTTGAATATAACAGATTTAAATATAGTAGTTGATTAAATCTAAAAATTGTTGGGCACTTATACTAGAGACCGAACTGTGAACCTCGTGCGAGATTTGTATGAAATATTTCGAAGATATGGCTCTCAATAAGATTTTCGTTCGAGATAACGCCTCTTTATTGTATACTTCGATAGGATAAAAATATTTTTAAAAAATTTTAAGTCCATATTAATTTGATACAAACTTCTAACTTGAAAAGATTTGGGGATTTTGCTTAAAAATAAAAACTGACTAGGAACTAAATTAAAAAATTGACTAATTATAGCTAACAACTATTGAAAAAGGGCAACAAACTTAAGTGGAAAAATGAAAAATAATTAATAAAACCCAAAAATAAAATTAATGAAAAATAAATATTTACTCAGGTTTATTTTCAATATGAAAAAATCAGTTAAAGCATAAAATGTATTTTATCTAAAATAAATCCAAAATTCAATGGATATTTTTATTAAAAAATATTTTCGACAGAAGAGGATTATTTTAGAGAAAATACAGTATAGAAGTATATATTGAGTTGTAATAAATTTTAAATCGTTTTATAAAATTTTAAAAATAAAATTGTATTGTCTTATTGTCAACCAAAGTAATCGTATTGACCGCAGTGTCGTTGAGATTTAGCTTCCGAAAATAACTAAATTTTGAAAATAAGAATTATACTTTTTAGAGATTCTAGAGCTAGGTATTTGTGTTCAACTTTGAAAAATACGAAGTGCGGCAAATTAAGCGAGGCAAAGCCCAGGGTATGTTTTTATCATAACTTACTTCAACTTGTACAAAAATTAATAATTATTTTTTTTCAACTCGCAATATGTACATTAATAAATTTTTGATATAAGATAGATTTTATTTTATAATTTAATCTTAATTTTTAGTTAATATTTGCCTAGAAAATTTATTTGATAAAAATTTGTTTCAACGTCAAGTTTAAATGAGAATGTTTAATGTCTTTGTTCTCCCTGGTTGGTGTGACAAATGCCAATTTTGATTTAAAATTGAAGTTAGTTATGCTAAAAAGACATCGCGCACCGAATTTGTCGCACATTGTATTCTATTTGACAAATAGCTTTTTACTTATTTATAGCACAAAATGCTTATATTTTAATTAAAATTACAAACTAAATATGAGATTAAACAGAAGAATAGAAATGAACTCTTAAAATGGATCTTAAAAAGTGGATTTATTCATTGTGACAGAACCTCATCTTTTGAAACATTTACCTAACACTTGCAGAAAGACTTACCGAAGCAAATGCTGAAACTCTTTTCGAAACAGCTTCTTTTACCATAGATACTTGTTGAATTTGTTGTCCTTGAATTTGTTTTTCTTTACTTAGTTCGATCAAATATACTTTTTGACTTTGTACTAGATCTTTTACCAAATATTCTAACTTTAATTGTAGGTAATTTGTAAGCGATTTTTTAAGGTCATCTTGTAACAAATCTTCAATCATCTTCATAATCACCTTCTCTAGCTTAATTTTATCACTTTCTTCAAACTTCTTTTTAAGTTGATCTTTTAGTTGCTCCAACAGATAACCAAAATTAATCTAAATTTTTAATTTTCATATGTACAATTATCAAAATTTTAATACAGTTGAATCTCTCTAATACGTCAATTTCCTTCATGCGCTGCTCATATCAGTCATTAGGAGTGACGTGTCAGAGATTTCACTTTGCTTAATAGTATCAGAATAGTCTAACTGACGCCCGAATGATTTGATTGACAAAAAATTTTTAGTCTTAATCTAATCTAAATGATTCTTATATCATTCGAAAGCACTCATAGGAGAAATTTTTTTCTATAGAACACATCTAATCCTCATAAACCGTTACAACAGAAAATACAATTA